TCGGCCGTCGCGTCCTGGTACTGCTGGTACTCGGAGACGAGGTCGTTCATGTTGGACTCGGCCTCCGTGAACTCCATCTCGTCCATGCCCTCGCCCGTGTACCAGTGGAGGAACGCCTTGCGGCGGAACATGGCCGTGAACTGCTCCGCCACGCGCTTCCACGTCTCCTGGATCGCCGTCGAGTTGCCGATGAACGTCGTCGACATCTTGAGGCCCTTGGGCGGGATGTCGCAGATCGCCGACTTGACGTTGTTCGGGATCCACTCGACGAAGTACGACGAGTTCTTGTTGATGACGTTGAGCATCTGCTCGTCGACCTCCTTCGTCGACATGCGCCCGCGGAAGAGGCACGAGCACGTGAGGTAGCGGCCGTGGCGGGGATCCGCGGCGCACATCATGTTCTTCGCGTCGAACTGCTGCTGCGTGAGCTCCGGCACCGTGAGGGCGCGGTACTGCTGGGAGCCGCGGCTCGTGAGGGGCGCGAAGCCGACCATGAAGAAGTGGAGGCGCGGGAACGGCACCATGTTGACCGCGAGCTTGCGGAGGTCGCAGTTGAGCTGGCCGGGGAAGCGCAGGGAGCACGTCGTGCCGCAGAGGGCCGCCGCGATGAGGTGGTTGAGGTCGCCGTACGTCGGCGTCGTGAGCTTGAGCGTGCGGAAGCAGATGTCGTAGAGCGCCTCGTTGTCGAGCGTGAAGCACTGGTCCGAGTTCTCGACGAGCTGGTGGACGGAGAGGGTCGCGTTGTAGGGCTCGACGACCGTGTCCGACACCTTGGGCGACGGGATCACCGAGTACGTCGACATGACGCGGTCGGGGTACTCCTCGCGGATCTTGGAGATGAGGAGCGTGCCCATGCCGGCGCCCGTGCCGCCGCCCATGGAGTGGGTGAGCTGGAAGCCCTGGAGGCAGTCGCAGGACTCGGCCTCCTTGCGGACGACGTCGAGGACGGAGTCGATGAGCTCGGCGCCCTCCGTGTAGTGGCCCTTGGCCCAGTTGTTGCCCGCGCCCGTCTGGCCGAAGACGAAGTTGTCGGGGCGGAAGAGCTGGCCGAAGGGGCCCGCGCGGACCGAGTCCATGGTGCCGGGCTCGAGGTCCATGAGGATCGCGCGGGGCACGTAGCGGCCGCCCGTGGCCTCGTTGTAGTACACGTTGATGCGCTCGAGCTGGAGGTCCGAGTCGCCGTGGTACGTGCCCGTGGGGTCGACGCCGTGCTCATCGGAGATGACCTCCCAGAACTTGGCGCCGATCTGGTTGCCGCACTGGCCTCCCTGGATGTGGACGATCTCGCGCATGGTGGATTACCTGGCGGGGGCGCGGCGGTCGGTGCGAAGCCAATTCGTTTTCGGGTCGATCGCCGCGACGCGACCTCGCCCCGGCGCGGGCGCCGCGACCGCGGGCTCGGCGGCCCGGCGGGGGCCCGGGTCGCGGGGCGGCGATGCGAGGGCGCGCGGACGCGCGCGACGCGCGCGTCGGACGCAGCGAGCATACGGTGTGTGTACAACGGCGGACAGGTTTGAGCAAAGCGCGCGCGCGCTTTGGATACAAAGATTCGTTGGCTCGCTGATCCCGTGGCAAAAGAGACACACGATGCTCACCATCGTCCGAGCCTTTGCGGAGGTCGCGCTCATCGTGGCCGTGCAGGCCTGGATGCTCGTGCAGGTGAGCTTCGGCTACTGGCGCCTCTGCGCCCGGGCGCGGCGCGCGGCCGCGACTCCCGTCGCCGCGGCGCCGCTGCCGGGCGACGCGCTGCTCTCCGTCGTCATCCCCGCCTACCGCGAGGCCGCGACCATCGAGGCGACGCTGCGGCGCGTGCTGTCCGCGGCGGCGGACCCGCGGCGCGTCGAGGTCGTCGTCGTCGACGCCGGCGGCGGCGACGGCACCATGGCCGCGGCGCGCGCCGTCGCGGCGGACCTCGCGCCGACGCTCCGCGTCGACTGCGCGCCGTCGTCGCGGGGCGGCCGGGGCCCGGCCGTCGCCGCCGGCGCGCGCGCGGCGCGCGGCGCCGCGCTCCTCGTGCTCCACGGCGACACGCGCCTGCCGTCGGGCTTCGACGCGGACGTCCTGGCCGCTTTGCGGGATCCGAAGACGTTGGCCACGTGCTTCCGCTTCGGCGTCGACCGCCTCGCCCTCGACGGCGCCCTAAAGTCGCCGCGCGGGTCGCTGTTGCGCCGGCTCCAGGAGCTGCCCTTCGCCGTCATGGAGGCCACCGTCGCGTTGCGGTCGCGCGTCCTGCAGCTGCCCTTCGGCGACCAGGCGCTGGCCCTCCGGCGCGACACCTTCGAGGCGCTCGGCGGCTTCGACGACCTCGCCAAACTGCCCATCCTCGAGGACTTCCTCCTCGTCCACAAGTTACGGGTGGCGGGCGCGCGCGGGTTCGGGACCATCGCGAACCTTTCCACGACGGCGCACTGCCACCCGCGGCGCTGGCTCGCGAAGCCCGTCTGGCGCGTCAACTGGACGAACCAGCGCGTCATGGTCCTCTTCACCTATTTCGGCTACACGCCCCTCGACATCTACGAGCTCTACTACGGCACGCGCGACGGCGCGACGTGACCGCGCCTAAGTTTTACCGCGGCGGCGGCGGCGGGAGCGCGTCGGCGAGGTCCGCGAGGGCGAGGTCCGCCGGCTCGGGCACCGTCGCCGCGAGCACGGCCGCGGAGTGCGCCGCGAGCGCGCGCGCCGCGTCGCCGGCGCCCGGCCCGCGCGCGAACGTTTCCGGGTCCGCGGCGCGCAGGCGCGCGGCGACGGTCGCGCAGTGGCGCCGGCCGGCGACGTGGGCGCGCATGCGGTGCGGCGCGGCCTGCGTCGTCGCGCAGACGTCGCAGCGCCGCAGGCCCCGCGGCGGCGGCGGCGCCGCGGCCGCGGCCGCCGCGAGCGCGTCGACCCAGGCGCCGGCCTCGACGGCCGGCGGCGGCGCGGGGGCGCGGCAGAGCGCCACGAGGGGCGCGAGCCCCGCGAGGAGCGCGGCGCCGCCGGGCGCGTCGCCCGCGGCCGACCGGCAGAGCGCGACGGCCTCGAGCGTGCTCGGCCGGCCCGCGCCTGGGCGGGAACGGGGTGATTCAACGTCGCTTCAACATGAGTGTTCCGCGCGCGCGCGTTCCAGAAAAAACACCCACGCTTCGAGTGCGCTCCGAGAGATGATCGCTCGTCCAAAGATCAGCCGAAACGAGTGGAAAAGGGCCGAGATAGGAGCCTCCAAAGTTGGAAATTTCGCACCCGTTTCCCGCCCTGGCCCGCGCCCGCGCCCGGGTGCAGCGCGTCGAGGAGCCGCGACGCGTGGGCCGCGACGGCCTCGGGCGCCAGGGCCACGCGGCGCAGGCGCCGGCCCGCCCGCGCGTCGAGCGCGGCGACGAGCGCGCGCGCGCACGCCCACGGCCCGTCCGGGACCTGTGTGCAAATCAAATCTTCAACCCGACTTCAATGTGCGCGTCATCGGACGATTGGACCAGACTCTTTCGCTGTGCTTCGAGAACTCGCTGAGAGCAATCGATTCGTCCAAAAATCAGCCGAATCGACTTCGATTTGACCGAGCTAGAGAATTCTGAAGTCTGGCCCCGACGTCCCAGCTCACTGGTTGATTTGCACACAGTCCGGGACCAGGACGACGGGGCGCCGCGCGCCGCCGAGCGCCGCGGGCCCGTCGGCGCCGTCCTCGGGGAAGAGGAGCGCCACGTCCTCGGCCGCGAGGAGCGCGTCGAGCTGGCGGTCGTGGGCCGGGCAGCCGTAGACGAGGAGCGTCGCCGCGCCGAGCCCCGCGAGCACGCGCGCCGTCGACGTCGGCCGCAGGAACTCCGTCGGATGGACGACGACGACGACGCGGAGCGTCGACGGCGCCGGGGCCGGCGCCGGCGCGCAGGCGCAGGCCGCCCGCCAGCAGGACCGGCACCAGTCCGACCGGTTCGCGTGATGGACCGCGCGGCCGACGAGGAAGCCCGCGGCCGCGAGGCGCGCGTCGCCGCCGGCCGCCGCGCCGGGCGCCGCCGGGTAGGACGCGTCGAAGGCCGACGCGACGGCGGCGGCGTAGGTCGAGGCGAGGCGGCCGGCGTAGACGGCAATCGAAGCGGCGCCGCGGTGGAACGCGCCCTCCGCCAAAACCTCCTCCCGCTCCCGCGCCGCCACGGTCTCGAACCCCGCGAGCTCGCGCGCCACGGTCGCCGGCCCCGCGGCGCGGTCGCCGCCGCAGCCGGCGACGCGCCGCGCGCCTTTAGCCTCCGCCGCGGCGACGACGGCCTCGTGGTTGTCGCCGAAGCCGACGTAGACGTAAACACCACCGGGCCAGAGGCACCGCGCGACGAGCGCGTGGGCCTCGCGCCGCTCGTCGCCGGAGGCGTAGGCGCAGTAGACGCTCACGACGGCGTCGAAGAGGCCGAGGCCGCCGCGCGCGAGCGCGACGCCCGCGGTCGACGTCACGCGGTCGACGTCGACGCCGCGCTTCTTCGCGAGCGCCGCGCACTTGGCGAGGCCGGCGGCGCTCGGGTCCAGCGCGACGCAGGCGTAGCCGCGCGCCGCGAGGGCGACGGCGTTGCGGCCCTCGCCCTCGCCGAGGAGCAGCACGCGGCACGGCGGCGGCGGCAGCCAGCCGGCGGCGACGGCCTCGTCGACGACCGGCGACGGCGCCTCGCCGTAGACGTAAGTTTTTCTGCTGTAGCGCTGGTCCCAGTCGACCATCGTCAGCGCGGCGACGGCAGCAACAGCAGCGCTGGGAGCGACATGCTCTCAAAGCGGGCCCATAACGCAGAAGTGCAACTTAAACTTCAACATGCGTCGGATGGCCCAAATCCCACCGCTGCATTCCCCTGAACCTCCGGGGGCAACAGTCCTTTAGCTTCGTACAGGAGGAGACGGGGGGGCGGCGGGTCGCGGGGCGGGCGGGCGGCGCGCGGGCGGCGGCGCGCGGCGCCCTCAGTAGGCCGGCGGCGCGCCGTAGGACGGCGGCGCCGGCGCGGGCCGCTCCCAGTGCGTACTCTTCGTGTTGTGGTCGACGTAGTAGGGCTTGCCCTCGGGCGTGAACTTCTCCTCCCAGCCCGGCGGCAGCGGCGACTCGTAGGACGGCGGCGCTGCCTGCTGCGGCGGCGGCGCGTACTGCTGCTGCTCGTACTGCTGGGGCTGCGCGTACTGCTGGGGCTGGGGCGCGTACTGGGCCTGGGCGACCTGGGGCTGCGCCGGGGCCGCCTGCGCGACGACGGGGCCCGTCTGGAGCGGCACCTGCGCGTTGAACGTGCCGCCCTCGGGGACGCCCTCGGGGATGGTCACGTAGTACTGGCGGCCCTCGATGTCGACCTCGACGGCCGTGCCCGCGGCGACGCCGTAGGGCCGCTGGATCTGGACCATGCGCTCGTGCGGCTGGAGCACGACGCCGGCCGGCGGCGCGACGATGATGACGCGCTGGCCGTAGCGGTGGTAGCGCGCCGGCCGCCGGTGGCTCGCGATGATGCAGCCCGCGCCGACGCCGACGGCGGCGGCGGCGACGACCGCGCCGGGCCGCGGGCCCCAGAAGGGCGCGGGGCCGTGGCCCCAGCCGCCGCCGTGGAAGCCGCCGTGGCCGAAGCCGGGGCCGTGGCCCCAGCCGCCGTGGCCGTGGCCGCCTTTACCCATGGCTAGTTGGTGGTGTCTGGTGATTCCGGGGCTGCCGACGGAGTCGATGCGGTCGATGGCGGCCGCAGGTTGTTATCCAGGCGCGCGGACGGGCTGCCCGCTCATTGGCCGAGCGGGCCAGCCCGCGGGTGCTCCCGGTCGGCGCTCTCTCCACAGAAGGAGATCCGAACCGACCCGAGTCTCGCCTGTGGCCTCGTCGCGCGCCTCGACCCGCCCGACTGCCATGGCCCTCCGCTCCCTGCTCCTCGCGCGGCGCCTGCCGGCGCGCGCCGGCGCCCAGCACTTGAGCACCGCGGCGGCGACGGCCCCCGCGGCGGCGCCGAGCGTGCCGCTGCTCATCAACGGCGAGAAGGTCTTCAGCGCGGCAACGGAGGGCATCGAGGTCAAGTGCCCGGCGACGCAGGACGTGCTCGCGACGACGCCCCTCGCGACGCCCGCGGAGCTCGAGGCCGCCGTCGCCGCCGCGGCCGCCGCGTTCCCCGCGTGGTCGCGGACGTCCGTCGCGAACCGCGCCAGAGTCATGCACAAGCTCGAGGCCCTGATCCGCGAGAACACGGACGAGCTCGCGAAGCTCCTGAGCGCGGAGCACGGCAAGACCGTCGAGGACGCCAAGGGCGACATCTTCCGCGGTCTGGAGGTCGTGGAGCACGCGTGCTCCGTGCCCTCGTTGATGATGGGCGAGACGACGCCGAACGTCGGCGGCGGCGTCGACTGCCACTCCTACCGCGTGCCCCTGGGCGTCTGCGCGGGCATCGCGCCCTTCAACTTCCCCGCGATGATCCCGCTCTGGATGTTCCCCTTGGCGGTGACGACGGGCAACACGTACGTCCTCAAGCCGTCGGAGCGCGTGCCGCTGTCGACGATGTTCCTCGCGGATTTGGCGACGGAGGCGGGCCTGCCGCCGGGCGTCTTGAACGTCGTCCACGGCGCCCACGACTGCGTCAACTTCCTCTGCGACGCGCCGGAGATCCGGGCCGTGTCGTTCGTCGGCGGCGACGCGGCGGGCCGCCACATCCACGCGCGCGCGGCCGCGACCGGCAAGCGCGTCCAGGCGAACATGGGCGCGCAGAACCACGGCGTCGTGCTGCCGGACTGCAACCCGAAAGCGGCGCTCGCGGCCATCGGCGCCGCGGGCTTCGGCGCCGCGGGGCAACGGTGCATGGCGCTGAGCCGCGTCGTGTTGGTCGGCGACTCGAAAAAGCTCCTGCCGGAGATCTGCGCGCTCGCCGAAGGTCTGAAGTTAGGCAAGGGCGACGCGCCGGGCGTCGACGTGCCGCCCCTCAACGCCGCGTCCGAGCGCGACCGCATCGAGGCGTTGCTGACGCGCGCGGCGGACGGCGGCGCGACGTTGGCCGTCGACGGCCGCGCGCCGACGGTCGAGGGCTACCCGGACGGCAACTGGGTGGGCCCGACGGTCGTCTCCGGCGTGACGCCGGACATGGAGATCTACAAGACCGAGGTCTTCGGGCCCGTGCTCCAGGTCTTGGAGGTCGACACGCTCGACGACGCCGTGGATTTGCTCAACGCGAACCCCTACGGCAACGGCTGCGCGGTCTTCACAAGGAGCGGCGCCGCGGCGCGCAAGTTCACCATGGACGTCGACGTCGGCCAGGTCGGCGTCAACGTGCCCATCCCCGTGCCCCTGCCCAACTTCTCCTTCACCGGGTCCCGCGGCTCCATCCTCGGCGACCTCAACTTCTACGGCAAGGCCGGCGTCAACTTCTTCACGCAGTGGAAGACCGTCACCTCCTCCTGGAAGGCCGAGGAGGACGAGGCCGTCTCCATGTCCATGCCCACGAACAAGTGAGCCTTTCGCCGCGCCGCGTAACAGCATGCAACTTGACGTGCAACATCTAGTCAAAATTGCCACAAGAGAGTTCAAGGACATCACCCCCGACCAGCGCCGGAGACGCCGTCTTCGACGAGCGTCGACACCGACGCCGCCTTCGGCGGGCCCGTCGACATCTCGAGCAGCGCCGGCACCGTCGTCTTCGACATGTTCGGCCTCGGCCCGAAGCCCGGCAAGCCCTTCGCGGACGAGGTCGCCATGGTCGTCGCCATGGGCTTTCCGGAGGACGCGGCCCGGCGCGCCGTCGAGGGCGCGCGCGGCGACGTCCAGCGCGCCGTCGCGGCGCTGACGGCGCCGCCGCCGGCGGCCGCGTCCGCCGCCGCGCCGCCGCCGGCGCCGTCGCTCGAGGCGACCTGCGCCGACGCGGCCGCGCGGCTCGCGCGCGCGTCCGACGTCCACGCGCGAGCGGTCGCGTCGTTCCTCCGCGACCTCGCCGACCGGCCGAACGACGCGCGGCTCAAGGTCGTGCTCACGGGCGGCCGCGGCGCGCTCCAGGAGGCCCTGCGGAGCGGCGACAACGCGGGCGTCGAGCTGCTCGTCGCCGCGGGCTACCGGCGCCACGACGCGAGCACGCTCGCGCTCGGCCGCCCGGACCCCGCGCGGGTCTTCGCCGCGCGGTCCGCGCTCGAGGCCGCGGCCGGCGGGTCGCCGGGCCGGGCGGCGCGCGAGGACCGGCGGCGCGCGAGCGAGAACGCCGAGCGGCGCGCGCTCTGCGCCGCGAGCTTCAGGAACGTGTCCGAGCCCGCCGTCGGCGGCGCGGGCGTCGCCGTCGTGACGTGCGCCGACGCGGCGGGAGCCAAGTTCGCGACGCGGCGCTTCGACGGCGACGACACGCTCGAGCGCGTCGTCCGCTTCCTCGCGACCTGCGACGTCGGCCCGCCGCGGGACCTCGACGGGGCCCGGGGCTGGCGCCTCGTCGAGGGGACGGGGGCGCCGTGTTGGTGGTGCGACGCGTGGCGCCTCCGGGACGCGCAGAGCCCACCGGACCGGCCGACGCTCTACGGCGCCGACGATTTGGCGAAGACGCTCACGCACCTGAAGATCTGGCCCTCCGCGACTTTGGTCGTCGAGCCCTGGGACGCCCTGGTCCGGCCCAAGGCGTCGCCGCGGCCGCCGGCCGTCGACGACCTCCGCGGCGGCCGGCGCCTCGGCGCGAAGCCCAAGCCCTCGGACATGTTCAAGCGCACGGGCGACCGCTTCGCCAAGGCGTCGCCCCTCGCCGGCGCGGGCGACCGCAGGGCCCACTACAACATCGCCAAGTCCGCGGACAAGGTCCCGGGCCTGCCCCAGCTCCTCAGCATGGGCTTCGACGAGGCCAAGGCCCGCGCGGCCCTCAAGCGCCACGCGGGCGACGTCGACGCGGCCGTCACCGAGCTCCTCGCCGCGGCCTAGCTTTCGTCGTAACGGCGCCGCCCGTGTGTCTCCCCGTGGATCTCGAGTTTACGCCGCGGTCACGGCCCGCCGCGGGCGACGAGCTGGGCGAAGGAGCCGCGGATCGCGGCGCGGACGAAGGTCGCGACCTTGGCGGCGTCGTCCGGTGGCTGCTTCGCCTTGGCCCGGACGGTCTTGCCGCGGTAGGCGGCCTGGAGCTTGGACGCGCCGGCGTGCGCGTCCGCCGGCGGCTTCGCGGGGCTCAGCGCCTCGAGGCGCTCGAGCCTGGGCAGCAAAAGGGTGATTCAACGTCGCTTCAACGTGAGTGTTCCGCGCGCGCGCGTTCCGGGAAAAGCATCCACGCTTCGAGGCCGTTCCGAGAGATGATCGCTCGTCCAAAAATCAGCCAAAACGAGTGGAAAACGGCCGAGATCGGAGCCTTTGAAGTTGGGAATTTCGCTCTCTTTTGCTGCCCTGGCTCGAGCTGGCCGCGGCGCGCCTCCCAGTCCTTGAGGTCGTCCTCGAGGCCGCGATGCGCGACCGGTCGAGGTCGCCGATCTTCGTCAGCGCCGCGAGCCGCTCCTGGAGCTTGAGGCGCTCCTGGCGCTCCATGGCGTGCGACGCCTCGATGTCGCCGATGACGCCGTCGAGCTCGTCCATGTTGAACTTGTGGCTGCTCGCCGTCGCGATGGCCTCGGTCTGGGCCGCGACGCGCTCCCGGAGGCAGAGCACCTCGGCCTCGACCTGGGACCGGCCCAGCGTCCTCACGTCGTCGTAGCCGAGGTCGTCGAGGTCGACGTCGCACTCGTCGCGCTCGTCGTCGTCCGCGTCGATGGCCGCGGCGACGTCCAGGAGCCGCTGCGACGCGCGCGACTCGAGGGACGCGACCTCGGACGTGATGCGGTCCTGGTTCTGGACGACGAGGCGCACGTGCTCCATCTTCGTCAAAAAGTCCTCGACGCGCGTCTTCGCCTCCGCGGAGTACTGCGTGTCGACCTGGGCGGGACACGAGCGATTCAATGTTCCGCGCGCGTTCCGTAAAAAAGCACCCACGCGTCGAGACCGTTCCGAGAGACGATCGCTCGTCCAAAAATCAGCCGAAACGAGTGCCGAGAGCGGAGCCTTTGAAGTTGGGAATTTCGCACTGCCCCGGTGCCGACCTTGACGGACGCGCCGAGCGTCTCCTCCGTGGCCTTCATCATGGCCAGGGAGATGGACGCGGACCGGTTGCGGCCGCTCGCCGCCTTGACGTTGACCGCGGACGCGCGGCGCGCGCCCTTGGCCTTGGGCGTCGACCGCTCGTCGTCGCGGACCAAGCCCTCGACGCGCGCGTCGCCGGGGGGCGCGCCCGCCGGCGGCGCCTTCGCGTTGGGGCTCGCGGGGGTCGCGGAGCCGCAGAAGGTGCCGCCGGAGATCGACTCCTCGAGCTTGCGGACCTTGTCGACGGCGAGGTCGCGCGCCTCCTGGGTCATCGCCTGGGCAGCAAAAGGGTGATTCAACGTCGCTTCAACTTGAGTGTTCCGCGCGCGCGCGTTCCAGGAAAAGCGGCCACGCGTCGAGACCGCTCCGAGAGATGATCGCTCGTCCAAAAATCAACCGAAACGAGTGGAAAACGGCCGAGAAAGGAGCCTTTGAAGTTGGGAATTTCGCTCTCTTTTGCTGCCCTGGTCATCGCGAGCTGCTTGCCGAGGCGCGACGCCTCCTCCTCGACGAAGCCCAGCTTCTTCGTCGCGTAGTCGGCGCGGCGCCGCTCGCGCAGCAGCTCGCGGCTCGGGCCCTTGGCCGCCTTCGCGGGGGACGACGCCGCGTCGCCGAGCGCCGCGACCTTGGCCCGGAGCTGCTCCGCGCTGAGGCCCTCGTCGTGGATCGTCGCGAACTCGGCGAGGCGCGCCTCGTAGTCGCCGGCCTGGGCCTCGAGGAGCTCGCACATGGACCGGAAGTCGGACGCCTCGTCGCGCGCGAGCCGCGCGTCGCGCTCCGCTTTTTTGGCCGCGGCCTTGAGCGCCTCGTTCTCGGCCGCGAGCGCCGCGGCCTCCTCGGCCTTGCTCCCGGAGAAGTCCAGGGTCGACGTCTCGGCGAAGAAGAGCTCGCGCTCGGCGCTGACGGCGTGGAGGCGGTCCAGCGCCGCCGTCGCGGTCTTGAGCTGCGCCTCCAACGTCGCGACCATGTCCTGGTGGTCGCGGCTCTCGTCGGTCATGAGCCGCAGGTCGCGCTCGAGGCTCGCGATCTTCTTGGCGTCGGGCGCCGCGGCGAAGGCCCGCGTGTCCAGCGTGCCCGCCGTGCCAACCGACGCGTCGTCCGCGGCCGCGCGGGGCGCCTCCGGCGCCGCGGCGTCCGGCGCCGCGCCGCCGCCCCCGCGCAGGAGCTCGTGGAGCTTCGCCGCCTCCTCGCGGCAGGGGTCCACGGTCGCGAGGAGCGCCGCGACCTCCGCGCGACCGGCGCCGTCGTCGCGCGTCCACTCGGCCGCGCCCTCGAGCGCCCGCTGGAGCTCCGCGTCGAGGTCGCGCACGCGGGCCTTGAAGTCGCCGCCCACGGCGGCCTTCCGCGGCGGGCTCGGCGCGTCGGGCTCGAGGACGTAGGCCGGCTCCTGGCTCGCCTCGGGGTCCGTCCGCGAGAGCAGCGGCTCGTAGGCGCCGACGTCGCCGCGGATGTCCGGGAAGAACTCGCCGGGCGCCGCGGCGGGCACGTACTCGCCGCCGCCGGACCGCGGCTTCCCCGGCGCCGGGTTCGAGTAGACCCTACGGGTGCGTGTGTTGCTGCGCTGGCGCGGGGGGAAGGGGGGGGGACCGCGCACCGGATGGCCTGCTCGTAGCGCTCGAGCACGGGCTCCTGGATGACGGCCTGCTGCTGGCGCGGGCTCTTGCCCTTGCCCCGCCCCCGGCCCTTGGGGCCCTTGTCCTTGGGCGCCGACGGCTGCTTCGCCACCGGTGCCTCCATTGCTCAGGAGAGAGCCCTCCCGTTTCGGCGTCGGGGCAGCCCCAACATGGACCCAATGGTGAGCGTAAGGTTGAAGATTTATTTTGTGCATCCCAAGTTGAAATTAGCTGCAAAACGTCGGGCGCTGGGCCTGGACCTTGGGCAGCGTCCCGCGCGCCGCCGCCGCCGCCTCGACGTGCTCGACGCCGGCGTCTCCCCGAGCCATGCCCGGGCGCGTGGCCTGCCCCTACGGGACGGACATCGAGGGCCAGGACCTCCAGCGCCAGTGCCAGAGCCGCTACCGGCGGCACCCGAACAAGCCCCTCTTCGAAGTCGCGCCCTTCGCCATGGGCGCGGGCTTCGCCGACGCGACGGGCCACGACCCGACGTGCAACGCGCGCAAGGACGAGTACGCCGTCATCGCGCCGGCCGTCGGCGACGCGCCGAACGACTCGCTCTCCTTCTTCATGGAGAACATGCGCGCCTACGACGACCACAAGGTCCGCACGAACAAGACGGAGGCCGCCGTGACCATCTTCCCCCTGGGCATGCCGCCGAAGACGCGCCAGAAGAAGAAGCGCGCGGCGCCGCCGCTCACGGACGACGAGAAGTACGAGGCGCGGAACTGCTACGACGCGTCGCACCTCCAGTACGACAACATGCGGCGACACGCGCGCGACGACCACGTCAAGCAGGTGCCGCTCCCGAAGCCGCCGTCGACGGTGCCCCGGACGACGCTGCGGAACCGGGGGCTCGACGCGGAGATGATGATGGGCAAGGTCGACCGCTTCAAGCACTTCCGCGGCCGCGCGATCAAGGTCGCCCACGTCGACGCGTTGCCGGGCGCGGCCAAGTGCGGCGCCGACCCGCTCACGGCCCAGCAGACCGTCGACTGCTACGGCTACGCCCTCTCGAAGCGCGAGGGCCTCAAGAAGTCGAACCAGCTCTCCGACGACACGCGCGCGGCCATCTTCGGCTACTGAGGCCTCTGTTGTTGTGGGCGCGGCGCACATAAACGCGTGGAGCGCGGCGCGTCTCCGTGGGGAGGTTCCGGCGGCGCCGCGGCCGAAGCGCGGACGTTCTTTTTTTCACTTCAAGGTGGGGCCTTCAACTCGACGGATATGCTGGGCTGCCCCGAGGTCGCAAAAACCGTGTGTCGTCGAGCCAACGACCATCGGCGGGACCGCCGGCGCGGGAGGGGCGGCGCCATGGTGTCCCCGCAGACGTCGCCGAGTAAGAAGGACGGCAGCCCGACGTTCCACAAGGGCATCAAGCGCGTCGCGCGCCACGTCCTCGACTCGGACCGCGTGCTCCAGCTCATGGAAATGAACGGCATCCTCGAGCCGGAGAAGGCCTACGTCCTCGAGGCGGCGAACCTCCACCTCGAGGACATTTACGATCTGAGCGACGTGCCGCGCCTGCGGACCCTCGACGTGACGAACAACCGGCTGACGAACCTGCGGAACCTCGTGGGCGTGCGCCACCTGAGGGAGCTCCGCGCGGGCACGAACCGCATCGACGACGCGGACGACGTCGGCGTCTGCAAGGAGCTCGAGGCGCTCTACCTCCAGGACAACCTGCTCGAGGAGGCGCCGCGGACCCTGGGCGGGTTGCGGAGCCTGAAGACGCTGCGCCTCGACCGGTGCCGGCTCAGCGGATCCGTCGGGCCGGGGTTGGCGGGCTGCGCGGCGCTGACGTCGCTGGACCTGAGCGGCAACGCCCTCGCGTCCTTCGCGGGCCTCGCGAGCCTCGGGAGCCTCACGGAGCTCGACATGTCGCGCAACGGCCTCACGGCCGTGCCGCTGGGGGCTCTCGAGGGCTGCCGCGCGACGCTCGCCGAATTGCGGCTCGGCGACAACGAGATCGGCTCCGTCGCCCTCGACGCCGCCGCGCCGGCGGACAACCCCGAGGCCGACGACGAGTCGACGGACGCGCCGGGCGAGGGCCTGAACCCCGTGCCCGCGCGCATGCTCAGCGGCATCCAGCGGAAGATGAAGAACCGGCGGAAGGCGCCGGGCGCGCGGCGGCCGCCCGCGGGCCCCGCGGACGGCCGCGCGCGCGCGAGGCGCGGCCCCCTGGACGGGCTGAAGGCCTTCCACAACCTGAAGACGCTCGTGCTCGCGCGGAACCACCTCGCGTCGACCCAGGCGCTCCCGAAGTTCGCGGGGCTCGTCGAGCTCGACGTCTCCGAAAACCGCGTCGCCGACCTGGGCGCGCTCGCGGCCGTCGCGCCGAACCTCGACGTGCTCAACGTCGGCGGGAACCGCCTCGACGACATCTCGGCCGTCGTCGAGGCGCTTGTGAAGCTCCGGGGTTTGGTCGAGCTCCACCTCGCGGGCAATCCCTGCGCGACGTCCACCGCGACGGCCGACATCCGCAGCGCCATGACGCCCAAGGCCGCGGCGGAGGACGAGGCGAAACCCTGGCAGCGGCCGTCGAGCCGCGCGGGCGGCCGGCCGAAGACGCCGGGGGGCGGGAGGCCGGGGTCCGCGCGGCCGGGATCCGCGCGTCCGGGATCCGCGCGGCCCGGAAGCGCGCGGCCGGGCACGTCCGGCGCGAGCCGGCCCTGCACGGCCGCCGCGGGCGCGCCGGGCTGGGCGCTCCTCTGCGCCCGCGCCTTCGCGAAGCTCGAGGTCCTCGACGACCTGCGCGTGGAGCAGCCGTCGGCCGACGGCGACGGCGGCGACGACGACGCGTCCGCGCCGCTGCCGACGGCGGCGCCGGCGATCAAGCCCCTGGCGACGCACCACACGAAGACGCTCGAGCGCCTCGAGCCCATGGACGACACGGACGCGCGGGTCGCGGCCTTCCGGCGGCGGCTCGCGGGCGTCCGCGGCACGCTGCGCGAACTCGAGGTGAAGGAGATGAAGCTCATGTACAAGGACGACGACGCGCAGTCGCCGCGGACGCTGCGCAAGCGGCGCGGCGCGGAGCCGAACGCCATGCTCCCGAAGCCGCCCCAGGCGCCGGAGCTCGCGAAGAAGCTCAACAGCTTGGAGCGCGCGCTGTCGTTCGGGCGGCCCGCGCGGCCCGCGGACGCCCCGCGGCCGTCGCCCGCGCGGTCCCCCGAAAGAAGCTCGAAGCCCGGGCCCGCCGACGGCGCGCCGCCGCCGCCGCCGTCCTTCGACGAGCAGTTCCAGGCCGACGCCGCCGCGGACATGGACCGGCGCGACGCCGCGGATTCGGCGCTCGACGACGCAAAGACGTGGAAGGCGCGCGTCGACGAGATGATCCGCGAGGACTCGGGCAGCGACTCGAGCGACGACGAGGGCGCGGGCTACGCCGAGGCGTCGCGCAAGGCCGACGCGGCGCTGCTGCGGTCGCTGGCCACGGACCCCGCGCCCGAGGCGCCGCCGGCGGTGCCGCCCCTGCCGCCGAACCTCGCAAAGGTCCTCGAGGACCACCTCACGCCGCGCAAGCCGTCGTCCCCCAAGACCTTCGACCCGTCGCCCGTGGACATGGACGACCCGGCCGTGCCCCTCGCCGCGGCCCTCGCGGACGCGGACGCGCTGCCCGTCAACGTCGACCTCGACGACGACCCGGACGCGTTCGCGACGCGCGCCAAGTACGAGTCGATGATGCAGGACTACACGGAGGCCATGGAGGCGGCGAAGATCTCGCCGGCCAAGGACGCCGCCGCGGCCGACGACGACGAGTTCGCGGTGATCCCCGACGAGCCCGCCGCCGCGCCGGCGCCGCGGAAGGCGCCGCTCCGCCGGAAGAAGAGCGGGCCCCGCGACGAGTTCAAGGTGCCCCGCGGGAAGATCCAGCACTCGCCGCGCAACGTCCTTCCGTGAGCTCTACTTAGGTGGCGCCGCCCTAAACTCCTCCTCGCTCTTCGCGCGTTCCGACTTCCCCGCGATCTGCCACGGGTGGAGGGTCCGCGCCTTCCGCCGCGCGGCCTTGACGTGCTCGGGGACGAAGTGGTGCGCCTTCTTCGCGGCCGGCGGCTTGAAGACGTGGGGCTTCCCCGGCTTCGCCTGGAGCAGCTCGTAGTACGCCGGGATGCGCTCCGCGAACTCCTCGAAGTCGACGTGGCCGTCGTCGTCCTCGTCGAGCACGCGGAAGGCCGCCTCGATGCGCTGGGGGTTGCGGTCGCCCGTGGCCTGGAGCGCCCACTTGAACGTCCGGAACGACAGCGTCCTCCCGCGCGTGCGCGTGCCGTTGACGGCCAGGAACCACTCGCGGAACAGCTTCGCCGACTCGGGCGTCGCCGTGGCCGCGCCCCAGAGCGCGCCGGCCTTCGAGAGCCGCTTCATGCGCGCGTGGCAGGCGCGCAGGGCCTTCACGTCGATCTTCGCCCGCGCGCGGCGCTCCGCGGCGATGCGCTCGTCGTGCGCCTCGGTCTCGGCGCGGTGCTGGGCCGCCTGCTCCGCGTGCGCCTCGTCGAGCTCGTGCTCCAGCTCGCGCATGTGCGCGTAGGTCGTCACGGCGCCGCCCATGTCTTATTGTAACACTGCTAGCGACAAAAGATGCCGTGCAGGGCTGCAGGCCTGCAGGATCGATGACTGCTTTGCTTGGGCTGCATCGCGTGGAATGCCCGGAAGGGCTCCACGGGAGATGTTGCCGTGCAACGTGCATCGATTTCGAGTTTGCCGCGACTGTCACACGATTGCTTTCCGACTCCTGGGCTGCTCATCGTCAGCGACTCGCAGCCATGTCGGTCAAGATCTCGGGCCCGGACTGGGATGAGCGCGCCGCGGCGCCGCCATACGCGCGCCCGCGCGCGACGGACCGAAAAAAAAACGAGAGAAGAGAACGAGCGCCCGCGCGCGGCGACCCCCCCAAAACGAGCGCCCGCGCCCACGACCGCAGGTACATGGAGGAGGTGTCGAAGGACATGGACCCCGGCGCCAACGACCCGCTGAAGATGACCTACTTCAAGGACGACCCGAAGCGCGACGAGCAGAGCGTGCGGGGCTGCTTCCTCGACGAGATCTACAGCCGGCCGAACATGGAGGAGCGGCTCGCGGAGAAGTTCTTCGACGGCGACGTGCCGTGGATGTACGACAACCTGGACAACCTGCCCGAGCAGGCCTACGACGAGTTCTTCCAGGAGTATTTAGTCGAGGCGCCGCCGCGCGCGGACCGGAAATACAAGATCATCTTCTACGGCGTGTCGGGCTACACGGGGTCGCTGGTCATGGAGTACATCAAGCGCGAGTGCCTCGACGACTTCGAGGTGGCCTTCGCGGGGCGCACGCTCCGCAAGGTCGTGGCCATGCGCGACAAGATTCTGGGGGGCACGAAGTGGGCGAACGCGGACTGCCTCAAGTGCAACATGGACAACCCCTTCGAGGTGGAGAATCTCGTGGCGAACTGCTGCGTCGTGGGCAACATCGCGGGGCCCTTCATGCTCACGGGCGGCGAGCGGCTCGTCGAGGCCTGCATCCACTACGACACGGACTACTGCGACGTCAGTGGCGAGATCCCCTGGAGCGCCAAAATTTTACAGTTCCACGACCTGGCGCGCGACGCGGGCGTCTACATCGTGCCGTCGGCGGCCTACGCGGGCGGGTTGCCCGACATCATGGCCTACATGATGGCGCAGAAGATGCGCGAGGTCGACGGCGGCGCGGAAATCAAGAAGCTCCACGGGTACGTGTCCATGTACCAGGAGAACGAGGGCACCGTGGGCTCTTCCGGCGGCACGCTGAGCACGCGCGCGGCCATGTCCACGGGCGACAAGTGGGTGCGGTCCGTGATGATGAACCCCTTTGCGCTCGGCGGCAAGGTCCAGGACGGGTCGCGCGAGGAGGACCAGGACAAGGTGCTGACCAAGGTCTTCCGGGACCCCGTGGTCAAGTCCTGGGTCGCGCCCCACGTCTACGCCTTCTTCGAGACGCGCGTCGTCCGCCGGTCGAACATGCTCCACAACATGCTCGTCGGCGGGCCGGACATGGGCTTCTGGTACGGGCCCGAGCTCAACTTCACGGTCTACGCGCTCATGCCCGACGAGTCCACGGCGAAGCAGTTCAAGAAGGGGTCGACGTCCACCAAGGCCGAGGAGGAGCGGCTCCGCGCGGAGGGCAAGTACTACGGCGCGGGCGAAGGGCCGCCGCTCGACGAGCTCTTCGAGATCGGCGTCTACTCGCTGTACCACATGGTCGCCATCTCCGACTCCGGGAAGAAGCTCTGCTGGTCCATCAAGGGCCGCGACGGCTACTTCGAGACCGCGCGCATGTGCGTCGAGACCGCGCTCACCATGGCCTGCTCCGCGCCGGAGCTCCGGTCCGGGCCCTGCTCCGTGCGCGGCGGCATGCTCGGCGCGGGCCTCGCGGGCAAGGACATCCTCTTCGACCGCCTCCGCAAGAGCGGCATGGGCTTCATCGACTGGTCCCCGGGCACGGCCAACGACGGCAACCTCCCGGAGGACCGCGCGGACCACAAGGTCTGGGACATGCGCCCGCCGCCGCCCAAGGCCGAGCCCGAGAACGAGTAGGGGGGCGCCGCCGCGCCGTCGCCACGTAAGCGCCCACATCGCGTCACTCGAGAGGCGGCGAGGCGAATTCGTCGGGCGGGGTTCCTGTCACTTGTGCTGTCCATCGTGCGGCAGGACATGTACACGAGTCAACGTGTGGTTCACTAAAAATCCAATATCTTAAGATGATAGAGGAGAAACGATTCTCGTGCTCACTCTGAGAGCTTCGATCTGTTGTACTCCGTCATGGAGCCCGTCGCGTTCTCCGTCACGACGCGCGCGTCCCGCGTCCGCCGCTTTCGCGCCGCGCGGCCCCCGCACGACCCCCACCGCCTCTAGGTTCGACCGCTGGCAGACGGCGTCGAGCGCCTACGGGGGCTGGTACCAGCCGCCCCCGCCCAGCGCCTTCGGGCGGCCCGTGCCGCCGACGACGGCGAACCTCATCAAGGCGGCGGAGCGCGCGTCCCGCAAGCGCCGCGAGAGCGAGGCGGCGAAGAACGGCCGCCGCGTGCTCGGCGCGACGGGCGCGGCGGGCAACGCGGGCGCGCCCGGCGGCACGAACGACGCCATGTACCTGACGACGGGCCTGTCCCAGAGCATGCTCGAGGGCCGGTTGCGCAAGGGCGGCTTCGGCCCTTTACGGCCCGCGGCGGAGGTCGAGCGCCGCGGCGGCGTCGACCTCGCGCCGGACGGCGCGTCCCGCTACGTGCCGCCGGAGCCGCCCGCCGCGTCGCCGACGCTACGGATCACGGCGGACCCGGCCTTCGAGGCGGAGACGACGGCCGCCGCCGTCGAGGCCGAGGGCCGCGAGGCCGCGAAGCGCGTGCCGCCCAAGACCTCCGACTCGCAAAAGTCCGTGCGCTTCGACGGCGGCCCCACGGAGGAGGTGAAGCACTTCATGAAGAACCCGGCCATGCGCAAGATCCACGACCGCGCCTTCGGCCACGAGTGGCAGGGCGACCTCGCGTCGCCGCTGGACGAGGCGAAGCGGGACGGCGGCGACCACTCCGTGAAGCACTTCATGTCCGACAAGGAGAAGCGGAAGCTCCACGACCGCGCGTTCGGCAAGGAGTGGGACGGCGACGTCGTCAACCCCCTGGACGCCGCCCGCGAGGCGGGCGGCGACCACTCCGTGAGCCACTTCATGCACGACGACGCGAAGCGCAAGCTCCACGACCGCGCCTTTGGGAAGGCGTGGCAGGACCCGGACGCGAAGCCCGAGTGGATCGCGGCCGACGGCGCGGACCACTCCGTGAAGCACTTCATGGACGACAAGGAGAAGCGGCGCATCCACGACCGGGCCTTCGGGCACGAGTTCCTGGGCGACCCGGGCGCCGCGTCGCCGCTGGACCACGTCGACGGCGACGCCGCGGACCACTCCGTGAAGCACTTCATGTCCGACAAGGAGAAGCGGCGCCTCCACGACCGCGCCTTCGGCAAGGAGTGGGACCCGGGCGCCGCCGAGGCCGAGGAGGCCTACGCCGAGCCCGCCAAGCCCGCGGCGCCCGCGCACCCCTGGAACCGGGCCGCCGCGGCCGACGACGCCGTCGCCTTCGCGCTGCCGCCGCCCGAGCCCGCGGTGCCCGCGGCCGCGGCGCCGCCGCCCATGTTCAAGGACCGCCCCCTCCACGGGTCCGACCCGGAGCCGGAGGTCGCCGCGGACCCGCGGCGGTCGCCGGGGCCCGCGAAGGAGCCCGTGTTCCCCGTCGCGAAGCCGCCGGCCGCCGCCGCGGCCGCGCCGGCCGAGCCCCGGGCGCCGCCGGAGCCCAAGCCGCGGGCGCCCCTCAAGCCCGCGGCGACCCCCGTCTTCCAGCGGCCGGGCCGCGCGGTCATCGAGGCGCCGGACCCGGAGAAGATGCGCCGGGAGCTCCACGACGCCGCGTTTCCTCCCAAGCCCGAGCCCGCGGCGCTGGACTGCGACGAGGGCGTCACGAAGGAGGTGGAGCACTTCATGCACGACTCGGCGCGGCGCAAGATGCACGACCGGGCCTTTGGCCACGAGTGGCAGGGCGACCTCGTCAACCCCCTCGACGCGGCGCGCGCCGACGCCGGCGACCACTCCGTGGGCCACTTCATGCAGAACGAGGCGAAGCGCAAGCTCCACGACCGCGCCTTCGGCAAGTCCTGGCAGGACCCGGACGAGGACAAGCCCCAGGCCCACGGCGACACGTCCATCGAGCACTACATGACCGACGAGTCGAAGCGCAAGCTCCACGACCGCGCGTTCGGCAAGGCCTGGCAGGGCGACGACGCGGCGTCGCCGTTGGCCCACGTCGACGGCGCCGAAACGTCCATCGAGCACTTCATGCAAGACAAGGAGAAGCGACGGCTCCACGACCGCGCCTTCGGCCACGAGTTCCAGGGCTGAGTCCCGGCGATACCCCCCCCGAAGCCCCCCGGGCGACGCCGAAGGAGCGTTCAAACCCCATTAAAGTTCGGCGGCCTTCTTCTTCTTCGGCGGCGCCGGCGGCGTCCAGGACGACGCGCGGTTCGCGAGCGCGCGGTCGAGCGCGTAGTGGGACATCTGGGGCCCGCCGGGCGGCCAGATCGCGCTGAGCTCCGCCTGGACCCAGGCCTTCAGATCGTCGTAGGACGCGTCGTCGGGCAACGCGCCGTAGAAGGCCGCGGCCTGCGCGAGGAAGACGCCGAGCTCCTGGCGCGACACGTCGCCGTCGCCCGCCAAGTCCAAATCGCCCGCGCGCAGCGTGGCCCCCTTCGCGGGCGGCGCGCGGTCCGGGCAGCGGCCCGCGTACTGGGCGGCGAGGCACGTCTTCGACGCGCGCGTCGCCTCGGCGCAGACGGGCGCCGCGGAGAAGGCGACGGCGTCGATCGTCGCGGGGGACGGCGGCTTCTTCGTCACCTCCGTGGGATCCGCCACGACGCCCGCGACGTCGAGGCAGATGAAGCCCGACGTCGTGTGCGCGGCCTCGCCGGGGATGCCCAACCCCCGCGCGCCCATGGTCCGCGCGCGCAGCGGCGACCCGCCGCGCTCCGCGACCATGGGCTCGCAGAAGTTCTCG